CTATACTGCTGCCAGAATGATCTTTCTGAAACTCATGATTATCACCCATCTCTAAAACCCTCCAAAAGTTTCCCTGAAGAAAATTTCCAAATTTCTCTAACATGGCCTGTAAGACATTTCATGATTTGGCCTCTCTCTACTTGTTCAGGTTTTAGATACCCTTGAACTCTAAGTGGTCCAGTTATGTCAAATACCTTACAGATACTGAAGTTTCATATTCTCTTTTTCCCCATCTGAAACTCCTTTCCCTCCAATTTTTAAACCTGGTTAACTTATGAAGAATATGTGTGGAAGGGATATTGAAATAACATTATCTGGAAAACTTTTTGCATGATTTTGTAGATTACACTTTTTTACCACTCATTACAGTGATTTTTTAATGCCCTATCAGTAAAGATTAAAATGACCAGCTGACATACAACTTAATAGTAATAATAATAATAATAACCTAAATAAAAAATAGGAAAAGGACCTGAATAGACATTTTTTCAAAGAAAGCATAAAATAGCCAACAGGTATATGAAAAATTAAACATCACTAATCATCAGGAAAATGCAAATAAGTACCAAAAATATTACCTCACACTTATTAAGATGGCTATTACCAAAAAGAGAAGAGACTAATGTTGGTAAGGATGTAGATAAAAGGGAACCCTTGCACACAGCTGATAGAAATGTAAACTGGTACAGCAAATATGGAAAATAGTATAGAGAGTCCTCAAAAATTTAAAAACAGAACTACTATGCAATCCAGCAATTCTACTTATGGGTATATATCCAAAAGAAATAAAATCAATATATTGAAGAGAGATCTGCACTCCCACGTTCATTAAAACATTATTCACAATAGCCAAGATATGGAATCAACCTAAATGTCCACTGGTGGATGAATGGATAAAGAAAATGTGATACACAGAGACACAGATAAATATTATTCAACCATAAGAAAAGGAGGAAATTCTGCTACTTCTGACAACATGGATAAATCTGGAGGACATTGTGCTAAGTTAAAGAAGTCAGGCACAGAGAGACAAATACTGTGTGATCTCACATATGTGGAATCTTTTTAAAAAGTCAAATTCATAGAAGTATAGAGTAGAACAGTGGTTACAAGGGGCTGGAGGATGGTGGAAATGGGGAGATGGTCAAAGGGTAAAAACTTTTACTTATGAGATGAAAAGGTTCTAGGTATCTAATATGCAGTATGATGACTATAGTTAATACTGTATTGTTTACTTGAAATTTACAAAGAGATTAGATTTTAAGTGTTCTCCACCACATACAAACATACACACATACATGAACAAAATGGTAACTAAGTGTGATGACGGATGTGTTAGTTAATTTAATTGTGGTAATCATTTCACAATGTACAATTGGAATATATACAATTTTTATTTGTCAATTAATTATACTTTAAATAAGACTGGGAGAAAATCCAAAACAAATACACCTAAAATAAAATAAAATGAGCAACTAAAAATGTTTTTTGAAATATATCTTAAAAACAATAATTTATATTTAAAGCTTTATTTTGTATGAACAGAGCAGCAGCTTTCTTACTTTTTTGTTGTCATTGTAGGCTATTAGAAATAAAGACTCAATAAATAATTGGAAAACTCAATAAAATTATTATCAGTGAGTTCTGATTTAAAACCGCCAGAACATCCTGGAATCCTCTGTTCTCCTAGTATAATGGCACCATGTCTTTTAATAGTTGACTTATTCAAGGAAAATGCAGACATGGTGAAAGTACATTTTTCATTAGTTGTTCTGGATGTTGCATAAATGTCTCATCCATTTAGAAAATGCAGTGTTCATTTTTATAAGATTCATAACAATGTTTTATATGTTCCAACTTAAGGGATACATTATGCTTTCTATTTAACCCAGGAATTCGTTTAATGTAAACTGTCAGCCTTTTAGTTTTATCACTAAATGGATACGTCAACCTAAAGAAATGAAGACTAATAGCCTAGTAAATCTTCTATGGATTTGAGGGTGGATTTGACATTGTACAAAATCCTAAACAAACAAGAAAAAAAAAAAAAGCCTAAATATTGTGTGAAGGAACAAATGAGATCATCAGCATAGTCTGCAGGAGAAGTGGAGCCTTGGCAAAGACCCAGTCAACCGCAAAGGGCAAAGAGGTTCTCAGACCAGGACGTGGGGATGTGGTTCTGGGATAATCAGAATAAGAGCTGCCATTTTTGAGTGCATACCATGTACCAGGCATTTTGCTAGGTGCTTTACATCAGAGATAAATTGTTCCCCAAATGGCTGGCAGGAACACAATCTTAAAAAGTAGCAGCAATTCTCACTCTTTAAAAGAAAGGGATCATAGGTTAGTTTTTGTCTTGAAGGGAAAAATTGATTTTATATTGCTATAGAACCAAAGACAACTATGACTATGTTAACCAACTTTCCAGGCTGATTTTATGTTTTATATGTTTTTGACACTTAAAAAAATTTTTTTTCCTTCTGTGATGGTCAAGATGTTTTGTTAGAATTTTTAGAAAATTCCATTTAAAATGTTATGCCGTCTTGTGATAAAGGGCAAGCATGAACCTATCATTTCCCTGTTAATTTGATAATTCATTTATTCAATAAATACTTGTTGCATTACTACTCTGTGAGCCACTGCTCTAGGTGTTGTAAATATAGTGCAGTGATTGAAACACATAGTTCCTACCCTCAAAGAACTTACAGTCTAGGAGAGAGCCAGGCACTAAGCAAATGATTGTACTAATAAACATTTAGCACAGTCGGTGCAAACCTTCATTTAGAAACTCAGTTATCCAAGAAATATATTTGCTAGAACTCTGTTCAGTTTTTGACTCCAAGTTCCCATACCACTCAGCTGGCAGAAACAAACAACATCCAGACAAGTTAATGTCAGTCCAACTTGGGCTTGGTTTCCTTCCCCTTCCCTGGACATAACTAGACCATCTTACTCTGTGTGTGCCAAGGCCTTTCTGTCATCAAAGAGTTGGTGCCTCCTCAGTTGTCTGGCTTCTTCGGTTCTAGCGGTTCTTTGCTGCTGCTGTTGCACATCACTCATGACATGAGGAATGGCTTTCAGAGTTCCTGTGGTCCCTCACAGGTCTTACTACTTCCTGGACAATGGTTTTTAGAAGCAGGACATGGATCTCCTCTGCTCTAAGGATCCACAGGCCTCCCTCTTTTTCTTATCCCCCTACCCCTTTCCATCCCTGAAGAAACTTCACATTTCTCTCTATGTTTAAGATACTTACTTGGTCTATGTCTCAAATACCTTTTCTAAGTCCTGTGCTTTTATAGAACAAAAATGGATGTATTTGATTTATAGTCATTTTATATGTCTCCTTCAACTTATAAAACACAGAGCCACTAACTTGAGAAGGGAAAGGTAATGAAGAAAAATAAAGATTAAAATATATCTCTTAATATTATCCCTCAACAATAATTCCTGAAATAATGCTATAAGGGAAATCCATGGTGACTTGAAAACAGTTAACAAAAGAACCAAATTTAATTTGATTGGGTGGTAGGTCCCATGAGAGGGAGTTCAGAGAGGGTTCTTCTGAGGAGACGAGATAGGAACTGGGATTTGAAAGCCATGTAAAGAGTTCATGTTTTGAAGGACAGTGAGGAGAGAGGAGGAGGATCCTTTCTCAACAGAAAGGATACACATGGCAAGGCCTCACAGCAGAACATTGAAAAAAAAAAAAAACAAATCTATGAGTATTATCACTTACGAATAAAATCTTAATTATAGATTATACACACTTGCACTTTGGTGTATGAGGCCTCAGCAAACTATATAAGGCATCAACCATTTATTGTGCCATAATGGAAAAAGTGTAAGAACTGGTCAGAGCTTTGGATTTGAGTTCAAGCCTGACCAGTTATAAGCTGTACGGTCCATGGCATATTGTATCACCTCTTCAAGCCTTAATTATATCATCTGGAAAATAGAGATTATGACAATATTAAAACTACATGCCCCATTAGTCTTATAGGATTGCTGTGATGATATTCTGGGAAAATTGATGTGAAACTGTTTGGCAAACTGTAAAGAACTTTCATGTGCATAATTATTAGTATGTTAATAACTAAATCTATTCACAGTAAAATTCAATGTTTTATTTTAGAGACTTCTCCTGAGATAAAATGGCAAATACTAAGTGTTCTATTTTCTCGCTTATAATTGTATGTAACTACATAGAGGTGAACCAAGTGAACACACTAAATATGATACACAATTATATAGTAGTGAATACAATCTTTCTTTCCTGGAAGAGCAGCTAACAATTTACTATCAGACAACAATAATGTAAGTTCTGTATGAGAGATGCCTGCTAGAAAATGATCAAATGAAGTAATGAATACCTAGCACAAAATAGAAGCCTAAAGTTAGCACAGTCACCACTCTCTCCTTAGATCCCTAACCAGCACACTAGGGTGTGTGTGTGTGTGTGTGTGTGTGTGTGTGTGTAAGGATAACATAAGATGGCTACAATTCTTAAAAATGTGTGGTAAACAGAGTTTACTAGTAAAGATTCAAAGCCAGTCTATAAAGCAAGAAAAATAATTCCTTCTGAAGTCTCCAGGAGGAAAGATATTAGACTAAAAATTTTATGCCGATCTATAACTATGAGAAAATCACTTAAGGCTACAGAAGCAGGGGTGAGAAGGGTAGAATAAAATAGGTTCAGTGCTTTAGGATCAATTGCCCAGGATCAAAAAAGAATAGCTTTATTTTATATGCAGTCTTGAAGAACAATGGGGAAAATATGTGAATAATTTGTAAAGATCAAAAGTACATAATAAAAAGGAACACTTTTTTTCAATTAGATCAAGTTTTTATTTTATTACACAAGGTGTTATGGAAAGTCCAATCTTTCAGAGAGACAAAAACAAAGATAATCACAATGACATACCAGTGGAAAATTTATAATCCTTATAACCTGACCTAGCCTCTAAATCCATGTAAAATTTGCCTTGCTTTTGTTTAAAGGATGGCTCCAAACAAATGGAGATTACGAAGCAATGGATACTTGTAAAAGGTAGTTCCCACTGTTGTATTGATTTCAGTCTTGGTTTTATGTGTGTGTGTGTGTGTGTGTGTGTATGTATATATATTATATTATTATAATATATATATTATTTTTTCCAGAGAGTTTAGTGAATTTCATATGCCCTATCCTCTCCTCTCCATGTAGAATGCTTTATAGAATAGCCCATAATGTCCTGTGTTCTCAGTTAGACCCAGGATTTGTTAAAACAAACTGCCTAAAATAGCCTGTTAGCCATGAGTATTTGGAGGAGTCACGGCTCCCCATCTACACTCCGATTTTCACAACCTTGCTCTAGAACTCTTCATAAAATAACATCCTGATGTGGCCTATAGATCAGAGACTTTTTATTTTCTATCTGGGTCCACTGAAGTCTGGGCTTAAAATCCAGAGCTGATTCTGGGCAAACAGAGGAGAGTACCCTGTTGTGTCCCAGATTAATTTTTCTTACTGAATTGGGAATGTGATAATCACTGGCCAAACAATAAAATTCTGATATTTACTGTCATATATTTTGCTTGCCAAATAGTCTAACAAAGTTCTATAGCTTCGTCTCTCAGTTCTAAGAGGATAAAACGTTAGGTACAAGAATCCACTATTTTCATCATACTAAAAACTACGTAATTATAAACTCTGGAAAACACAGCCTAGAAAGCAGTGCCTGGAAAGCAGAAGCTTTAAAAGTCAATAGAATTGTGTGTTATAAAGATTTTAGTTTAAGCGGTTCTAATAATTTCCAAGTTTTGCTTCTATAGGTATAATAATTTTCTAACTCATTTAGACATTATATAAGAATGTACATGTACTCATATGTACTTAAAATATGATCAAGAAGTATAGTAGTAATATCTTTAGAAAAATTAAGAAAATTCCACTGAAACTCTTAAGAATAACTCTTAGATCACAAACTAATCAAATATCTCTGAAATAAAAGTTCATTAAATTTAAATTAAGTGGAAGTTATACATTAAATATTGTTTTCTGAAATCAAAATCTGGTGTACAGTATGTAATACAGAATATTGGATATTAAACAATTCCTTTTTTAAAACAACTACAAGAAAAATATTAAGAATGATGAATTATGCTGGTTGATTTGACTTGGATCCAAGCAAAGTATCTATTATATCTGCCTGAAAAAAAAAAAGAGACACACAATTACAATGCAATAAAATGCAAATTAAAAGGTAAAGTAGTCTTTAAAATGCCATTTAAAATTTATAAGTTAGTGATACACATATCCAATAAGATTGTAAAAGGGAAACAAGCAAAGGTAAGTTTAAACAGTAATGGTTATTTCCTAGTATAAACCTACTCTTTCCATGAAAGACTCTTTTTTTTGAGACAGAGTCTTGCTCTGTCGCCAGGCTGGAGTGCAGTGGCACAATCTCGGCTCACTGTAATCTCCGCCTCCTGGGTTCCAGCAATTCTCCTGCCTCAGCCTCCCAAGTAGCTGGGACTACAGGCACGTGCCACCGCGCCCGGCTAACTTTTTGTATTTTTAGTAGAGATAGGGTTTCACCGTGTTAGCCAGGATGGTCTCGATCTCCTGACCTCGTGATCCACCCACCTTGGCCTCCCAAAGTGCTGGGATTACACGTGTGAGCCACCATGCCTGGCTGAAAGACTCTTTTAATGAATTCTGATAAATAATTTTATAAAGATTCAGTAAGAAGAAAATTTTGGCAGCTCCTATTTAGCCTTAATGCTTAAGCCTAAACTTTCTCATTTATAAAGTACCGGTTAAACTTACTGATATCTTAAGTTCTTCCCTGATCTATTAATGCTTGACTTAGAGAGTAGAACTTCTCAATTTCCATGTGGGTTTTGTTATTTTTCGCTTAGTGGTACTGATATTTGTACTAAAATGGGTAAAATGATCATATATAAGAGGATGAAAATCAAAGATGGGAGGTGAGCTTTTAAGCAAGAGAGTATAGTGAAAAGATAGGGACTGGAAGCAGAAGAGTTTCTCTATCACATAGTAAATGTAATCTTGAGAAAATCATTGAACTCTTTAGATAATGTAACATAAGTCAGTTCATATTTTTTAGCCTATACTATGCTATCTTTGGCACTTCCCCATCATTCAAAGTCCTGCACACCAAATCAGTTGCCAAGTCCGTCAATTCTAACCTTAATATGTTTCTCAAACTCATCTCTTTCTACTTCAGTTTCTCACTTGGGCAAATGTAAGAGGTAGCTACAAAAATTTGTTCAATGTTGTATCCTTAGTTCCTAAAACCGACCCCGTCACATAGTAAATACTCAGTAAATATTAATACTTGTTGAATAAATGAATCAATAGTTTATTTCTTCTGCCTTCAGTGTCTATCATCATTAATTTCTTACATATATTACAGATTCATGTTTCTAAAACTCTTTTTTGAACATTTCAGTTATCTTTTTATTTTTCCTTCAATTTGGAAAAATGCAAACAGCAAGAACACAGAGAAAAACATGGTAAACATTTGTATAATGAACCATAATAGTAAAATTAGTATCCAGGAGTGATTCTCCACAGGCTTCCTGCAGAAAACGAGTTGCTTCTGTAACTCTCCATCGAAACTGACTTCTCCCAAATGCTTATACCATAATTCTCTACAGCTCAAGACTTAGACCACCAGCAATCCTCATCATGACAGTAGAAGAGCTGGTGCTTCCCCAGTCATGAATGTTAATGCAGTGGTAACTCCTGCCAACAGTTAGCTACATCATAAAGTTATAATTGCAAGCCTTGAATTCCAGTCTCCTGTTCATGCCAGACATTAGGCTGGTGTTACCACTAACCATGAACCCTAAGCTAGTAGGACAGGGCTGGAGCCAACCTTTGGCCATATCCTACCACAAAAATATTCTGGTCCTTGCTCTCATCAGGAAGGGGCCAGAGTTTCAGAAATCATGTCACTTAAAACCTCCAGAGGGCCAGGCATGGTGGCTCACACCTGTTAACGCCAGCGCTTTGGAAGGCAAAGATATGTGGATTACTTGAGGCCAGGGGTTTATGATCAGCCTGGGCAACATTAACAAGTCCTTGTCTGTACAAAAAATTAAAATAAATTTTAAAAATTAAAAGTTAAAAATATTAAAAGTAGCAATTAGAAAAAGTGATACTAACTGGAGTCCTGAAAGACACTGATAAAACATAGTTTCCTTTGTATATCTCCTAAAACTGTCCTTCCCTTTCCCTCACGTCCCAGGGGTAGCCTTTATGCTAAATTTGGTGCACATCTTTCATATAGAATGAAATCATAAGGCTTCCAAAACTTTGATTCACTCATGGTTAAAATTAATGAAAAAATTATAGGTCATAATGCTACTTGACAAGATATCTTGGTAGGAAATAATGTTTTTGACATTAGCAACTTTGGAACTTCAAATTATTATTATGACTATAATTCTCATAAGCTAAGAAAGAAAAGGTATATCATTAACATTTGGCTGTAAGTAACAAAAAAAATCTAATTAATGGTTTTTTGTTGTTGTTTAATCTCCCAAAAACTATAACCCAAAGCCTTTCAAATATAGTGACCAAAAACATGAAAAACATACTTGTATCCAAAAATTATATTTATTTACTAACATATGGAATTGATTTGTTAAGAAAATTATTCTTACCAGCCTTGAAATCGCATGCGCGCGCGCACACACACACACACACACAGAGATTTGCCAAAAATGTTCAGATTCTCTAGGCTTAGCTTTCTGCTTGTAGAGCATACTGTTCAAATTAAAAGATGGCATAACTAATTCAAATCCAAACACAAAAATGAAGCATTTTTCTTCTATATTCCAGTCTATATTTTATACTTTTACCAACTATAATTGTGTCTACTAAGAATATGTTTTTATTTTTGTGTTTAAAATAATACTTGCATATATTATAACATATTGTACTTACCTTGTTGAAATTTGCTTTTATCACTCAACACTGTTTTTTAAATTTATTCAAAATTTGTCATATTAACACATTAAGATATAGGTCATTTAAATCTCTGTATTGTAGTTACACATGTGAAAATGTCATATTTTATCTAACCAGTTTTCCACTGATAATCATTTGCGTTGTTTTCAATTTGTCAGTGTACAAACAAGGCTGCTATAAACATTGTTTTCTCATTAGCATGTTTTTCACACCATTGCCCATGAGTTGAACAAAGCCCTAAAGATGTATAAAATCTGGGCTAGGCCTGGTGGCTCACACCTGTAATCCCAGCATTTGAGGAGGCCTAGGCGGGCAAATCACTTGAGTCCAGGAGATCGAGATGAGTCTGAATAACATGGCAAAACCCCATCTCTACAAAATATACAAAAATTAGCCAGGCATTGTGGTGTGCACCTGTAGTCCCAGCTACTTGGGAGGCTGAGGTGGGACAATTGCTTGATCCCAGGAGTTTGAGGCTGCAGTGAGCCAAGATCAGGCCACTGCACTCCAGCCTGGGCAACAGAGTGAGACCTTGTCTTTAAAAAAATAAATAAATAAAATAAGGATATAATCTAATTTAATCAGATGGCATTTAAACATCTACAAAAGTTGTAATCCTACTGAACAGGAAAACTGTAATAATTTAGAATTTAATGATACAGTAAATCAATGAATTGAAGTCAATCAAGTGATCCAGCAACATGGGAAGGGTTGCAGACTTCCGTGAGATGACGGAGGACTTAGGTAATGTGTAACTAGACTTTAGGAGACATGGGCTGGGAGACAAATGCATTGGAGCATTGACAAATCAACAGTAAAACAGGGCTCAGGCTGGCAGCTAAGGTAGTTAGGTAAATCCCCTTAAATGTTCACAGTGTCAGGCCTCATTCCCTGGCTAAAATCTTAAGTCAAGATGCATCTTGGCTAGCTGTGAAAATAGTCTTCAAAACTACTTATAATGTTATTCTTTTTTACCCTGAGAAGAATAAACATTGTGCACAAAAATGATGCAGCAAATCAAACAGGTAACTTTAGTATTTTCTGCATTAAGGAATTTACATAATTTTAATATTTTAAATATTCATTATGTATATGAGAAGTTGCCATATTGGAATGTCTAACAGAAACATTTGCTTCTTATATAAATGTGTAATTTGGGTAATTGATTTAGACTTACAATCATGGATTGAAATCTTACCAATTTGTAAACAGCATTGGAACATTTAAGAAAATATATTATTCATCACATTTAAAATTTTTAATTTATGAAATTAATAAGAATTCCTTAAGTATCTGAGACTTGTTTGTCCATAAGAAAATTGAAGTACTTAAAAGTCCAATATATTAAATTTATAAATGAGAATTAAAATATTTAAGAAAATTTAATTAAGTTGCAAAAACTCACTTAGCATGTATCAAAATCTGCTAGACTTAAAAAGAGAATAATAAAATATATAATCTAAATGTAACAACTTAAGATGAACTGTTCATTTTTTGTAAATCTTATATCATTTGAATATGAGTTTTTAAAATCAAAGTAAACTGAATAATCTTTTGTAAATATAAAGGCTACCTTAGGGAACATTAGAAATAAGAAATAAATTGGCTGGGCATGGTGGCTCACGCCTGTAATCCCAGCACTTTGGGAAGCCGAGGTGGGCAGATCACTTGAGGTCAGGAGTTCGAGACCAGCCATGGCGAAACCCTGTCTCTACTAAAAGTACAAAAATTAGCCATGTGTGGTAGTAGGCGCCTGTAATCCCAGCTACTGAGGAGGCAGAGGCAGTAGAATCACTTGAACCTGAGAGGCAGAGGTTGCAGCGAGCCAAGATCATGCCACTTGATTATACTTTTTTGAATATCTATTGTCCCTTTCTTAGAAACCATGTCTTTTGCTTGTGTGTTTGTTCATTCAGATAGTCATTCAGCATTCACTGAATGCCCATTGTGTGCTAGTACTGCGCTAGACACTTACATATATGTTTCCAAGGGGCTCAAACTAGTAAGAAAAATAAGTATTCAAAATATTCCAACTTATATTGATAGATTATTGTCACACTTGACAGGATATATATATACACACACACATATATATATATAAATATTTATAAAATACATACACACAAATACATATATACATTCGATGAAAAGAAAATAATCAACACGCCAATACTCAGATTTCTCTTCCACCACTATCTCCAACGCACAATAACAAAAATTTTAAAACAACTCAAACAACTCAATTCCTGCTCCCAACCACCGCAAATTCAGAGTTTATGAGCAAGTTCTTAGAGCTCTTGTGAGATGGACTAAGAGAAACATAGAGTTTGTTTTTTTTTTTAAAGATGAATTTAGGCTTTGAGGCTACATTTAGAATTGGAGGCTTATGGACAAAAGAAGAAAAAAAGATTACTATAAACTATGTATTTGGATTCACTTAAAAATTTTAAGAGATTTGAATAAGAATGGAATTTTCTTTTAATTTCTTTTGGCCATTGAGCTGTGCATCTTAGGCAAGTTTCAGTGTGGAGATAAATATCCCAGTACCTGTTAAAATATCTGATACTCAGTGAATGTGTGAGAAATGAAAAAATGTTTAATATCACGAAAAAGCCATTAGGATTACATTCCTCAGAGTAGACTAAAATTATGTAAGAAAACCAATGCGTTTTGTGAAACAAATACAGATGATATGGAAAACAGGTAAGTAAAAGGAAAAATATACATCTTATTGGTTCTGTTTCTCTGGAGACCCCTAACACAACTTCTTAAATAATAACTGTCTTTTAACAGAATAATGTTTTTATGCAAATGAACCTCTGGAACATAAAATTTATCCAAGACTCCACCCCTAAAACTAATAGTTGTAATACAAAACATGTTAATTTTTTTCTCTAGTTTTTCAATGCATATTTATTCAACAAGCATTTATTGAATAACTACTATAAGCCAGACACTACTAGTCCATGGCAATACAACCCAGAACAAAAGAGGCAAAAATCACTGTTTTCATAGAGTTAACATTCTAGGTGTGGGACACAGGCAATTAACAAAATATATAAATAAATTATGTTATAATGCATACATAAATTTATATATAAATAGATATAAAATGCAGAAGTAAGTTTATGTATATTCAAAGGTGTTAAATGTTATTTAAAAAATAAGTCATGAAAGAGTATTGAATAGGGGGTGTGAAAGATAGTAGAGGTTGCAATTTTAAATAAGACGATCAGGAAAGACTTAACTGAGAAAGTGACACTTGAGCAAAGATTTGAAGTAAAGAAATAAGCCCTGTGAATGTTAGGCTGGGGAAATGACAAGCATTTTATTGATTTACTTATTTAACATTTACAGTCCATATGGTTGGGACAGAACTCTACCTCCTACATGTGACCCAGATCTAATCAATCATCTGATTTCCCTGGCCACATTTCCTTCTTGTTGGATATTTATGTTGTTCTGTTTTCCTTTTCCTTTTCTTTTCTTATCTCATGAATAATGCTATAATTTATTTTATTACATTTATAAACATTTCTATAGGATAGTCTCAGAAGTGCTAGTTAAAAGGAATCAATATTCTCTAAACATTCCCTTTTTTTTTTTTTTTTTTTTTTTTTTAGTCAGAAGTTTTCTCTGTTGCCCAGCCTGGAGTGCAGTGGCGCCATCTCAGCTCACTGCAACCTCCGTCTCCCAGGTTCAAACGATTCTCGTGCCTCAGCCTCCTGAGTAGCTGGGACTACAGGCACCTGCCACTACACCCAGCTAATTTTTGTATTTTTAGTAGAGACAGAGTTTCACCATGTTGGCCAGGCTGGTCTTGAACTCCTGACCTCAAGTGATCCACCTGCCTCAGTCTCCCAAAGTGCTGGGATTACAGGCATGAGCCACTGTGCCCGGTCTTCTCTAAACATTTCTAACAGTCTTGATTCAGATTGTCAAATTGCTTCCAAAAAGTTATACCGATTTCTATTCCAACCACCAGTATGAGAGGACTTATCAAATGTTGGCCAGTACAGAGTAGTCTTATTAAAAAATTATTTTTAAATAAACTTTGTAAATCTGATATGTGAGAGTGCTATTTGAATTTAATATTTTATCTTTTAAATTATTAGTGAGGTTGGATTTTAAAACATATCTACTAGTCATTTTTTGTGAATGACCTGTTCTTGACCATTGCCCATTTTTTATTGAAGTCTTGCTGTTTTTTCATATTGATTTGTACATATTTTTAACATATTTATCATATTTGTGCTAATATTTACCAGATTATTGTTTATAATAACAATGTAAACACAAGAAACAGAGAAAAAAATGAAAATTTTTAATTGAATATTGAAAACTTTTTAAAAATAATAGGCATCTAATGACACCGAGTTGTTTGTCAAGTTCGACACAAAACTTGGGTATTGAAGAACGTGGAATAAGAAAATAGGATAACGCTAAACCAACAGAAACAAATGCCCATTTGAGGAACATTGGAAAATATCTTAAAATACAATTATTTTATGTAACAATCTTTTAATATATGAAGTAAACTTCTTTGACCATCTTTAAAAATTATTAAGTCCCAGTTACATACTAGGCACAATTTTAGGTTCTCCCATATAATATTTACAATTATTTTGCTCACCAAGATTATTATTCTCATTCTCTTTTACAGATAAAGAAGATGAGGTTGAAAAAAAAAAACCCTAATAGGTACCATGTCTAGAAGTTAGCAACTCTTGGAATTTATGTTCTTTTATTATATTACACTTAAGATACTTAGGAAAGGTAAATCCTTTGCATGCTACAAAAGTATATCTGAATAGAATAATAAAACGACACAAATTTTTTTACTCTTGAGTCTCACCCGGCCAGATTCCAAAGCAGTAGGCATATTTCTCAGTTCATACACAGAAACCTGTCCATCACTGTCTCCTACCAAAAGGCAATCTGTTTGTTTGGCAAAGAGAATGGTTGTGAACTTGATTCCAGGGTTAGCAGTATTCACAATCAGAGGGTCCAAACTGTAATGAAATATTTTATTTGTAAATTCAATTGTTATATTAATATGGTCTTTTAAATAGATAAAGAAAAATTTGAGATTTTGTAAATTAAATGTAAAAAAACCATAAGCCTATTTAAGTGTTTCCAAACTCAAAATAACTGTTCCTCACTCCTTAATCAAAACCTTCATTTCTTCAATGAACTAATTTCAACCAGGTAAATTAAAGTACTTCACAATTAAGATGGGAACTCATAAATTTAAACTTTTGTGATGGTTAATTTTGTGTGTCCACTTGGCTAGGCTATGGTACCCAGTTGTTTGGTGAAACATCAGTCTATTTTAAAGGTATTTTTTTTCAAATACAATTAATATTTAATTCACTAGAATTTGAATAAAGCCTATTACCCTCCATAATGTGGGTAGGCTTCATCCAATTAGTTGAAGGTCTTAAAAGAAAAGACTGATATCCACCCAAAGTGGAATAAAATTCTACCTGCAGAATGCCTTTCTTCTCAAGACTGCAACATGACTCCTGCCGGAAATTCCAGCCTGCCAGCCTGCCAGCTTGCACCGCAGATTTCATACTTGATAGGACCCACTCCTTAAAATAAATGTCTCTCTCTCTCTCTCAAGAGATAGATATAAAAATAGAGATATATAGAGACAGAGACAACAATAGATGTAAGTACTTATTGGTTCTGTTTCTCTGGAGACCTCTAACACAACTTCTTACATAATAACTGTCTTTTAACAGAATAATGTTTTTATCCAAATGAACCTCTGGAACATAAAAGTACATTTTGAACAAGAAGTTTTCCTAGTCTTCATTATCTAAAGCAATCTACCTAGGGTCCTCAAAAGAAGAGAAGTAGCAAGTTTGTATACTTCTTTTAAAAATGTGTTGTCCTGGGAATTACAGGTTTTCCAGAAAAATTAAAATCAGAGGTGGGATTATTTAAGCAGCCACTTTATATATTAGTCACCTCATACTGGTAGTCCTTGATTTTTGGTTCATACTGTTTTATAGAATAAACCAGGACAAAATTTTAAAATTACTGAATTATAATTCCTAGCAAAAAAAATTCTCATGAGGAATAAACCCACTGAATTTGACATCATTTCTTTCAAACAAGAATTTATTTTCTTGCTGTTTTTGCTAAAAACTAGCATAAAGATATAATTTCCAATTGAAAAAGTAGAACTAATAACCTTTTTATTCCAACATTGTATTAAGTTTACATATTAGGAAGAATAAATTAATTTAGATAATCCTCTAATAACTTTGATGTAATATGTTAAATCAAAAATTTTAATTAAGTTCATACCCCTTTGAATATGTTTTGAAACAAGGTAAGAGCATAAGTAAATGTTGCAAAAATAATTATTTTGTCCCTTTTTTCTATCATAGAAAATTTTTAATTAAAAATGTAAAAATGCCTCTGTATGTTTCTCTAAATCAGGCAATGAATAAGAACTCAAGATAGCTATTATATCCTATATCGTCCTGTAAAAGTTTGAGGAGATGAGTAAGGTAAACTACTTTCTTTATTCTTTTTTTTTTTTTTTTTTTTGAGTTAGTCTCACTATGTTGCCCAGGTTGGAGTACACTGGCTCAATCTTGGCTCACTGCAACCTCCACCTCTTGGGTTCAAGTGATTCTCCTGTTTCACGCTCCTGAGTAGCTGGTACTACAGGTGCATGCCACCACACCTGGCTAGTTTGTATATTTTGGTAGAGACGGGGTTTCGCCATGTTGGCCGGGCTGGTATTGAACTCTTGACCTCAAGTGATCCACCTGCCTCAGCCTCCCAAAGTGCTGGGATTACAGGTGTGAGCCACTGTGCCCAGCCAAGGTAAACTACTTTCATTCAAATATTTTTAAAATCACATACGGTATAAATAATTAACATTAATATAGCATCCTGGTATTATCTTTATTCATAAAGGACTCTTATAAACTATGACTTCTTTTAAAGTAACTACAGTACCCTCTAACTGGTGTGAAAGCTATCAGCTATAATTTAGTTTGAACTGCTTCTACTATAAATTTACCCAAGAAAAATAGTAACACTTACGTGCTGATATGAAGGTCCCAAATCTCCACCCTGTTCTCATTTGCAGCTGCAAATATATAGGATGATTTTGGAGACCAGGCAACATCATAAACAACAGAAGTAGTTGGATAAAAACTCAAAAATGGCTTGACATTCTCCTGTTGCCATATAATAACACCCCAATCTGCAGAACAGCTTAAAAATACATCATGACAAAATGGATTCCACGTCACTTTATACACTGGACCCTAGAAATTAAAAAAAAAATACATAGGTAAACAATATTTAACATCATTTATTTTAAACTTGACTAGCAAATTAAAAATGCTAAGATTTCTAGATTTTCACACAACTCATTATTGTGTGGGCATTATTTTAGCTGAGAATAAGATCATAGATTGAATCTTCCCTAAATTATTACATTTAAAACATAAAAATATAGTTGCTACAATATTCACTAAATTTAATACATATTATGCATACTTTGAAAAAATAAAGAGTATTAAGAAAAGAAAGAAAGGACGGAGAAAATGAAAAAAAAAGTGGCTGAAACAATCATGACAAGATATACAGCCAGGTGCAGTGGTGTTTGCCTGTAGTCCCAGCTTCTTTAGAGGCTAAAGTGGGAAGATCAAGTGGAAGATAGAGTGGAAGTTCAAGGTCAGCCTGGGTAACAGTGAGACCCATCTCTTTAAAAAAAAAAAAAAAGCTATAGAGCTAGGTATGGGTGAAAGACAATTTTACTTTAGGATCAGCATGTTATCATAAGCAAAGTCTTTTAGAAACAAAACTTGTGACTTCCAAAACTTTCAAGAAGAAATCAAGGATATCTAGAACTCAAATAAAATGCCCCATACATTATTGGTGGTTTCCATAGAAGAAAACACTTAATTCAAGATGGTATTTTTAACTCTGAAGTTGTAAATTTATTGCATATTACATATACTTTGTAGAATGGTACTATTTTTTCAGAAATACAAAATAAATGTTCCAACCTTCTATAATTAAACTAACCTTATGTCCTCTGTAGGTATTTAGGTATTGTTCATTATATGAACAAGAACATTTGTGAATATGACCTTCTTCAGTGCCAGCCAAATAGATATTTGTGTCCTACAACACAGAACATCGAAATGCATTGGCTTGTGATACATTAGTAAGTGTCATAAATAGAAGATGAGATATTTCTGGATCTATTAAAATCAATTCGAGAACCCAAACTAAAAGCGCTATCTTGAATATATCAGTCTTGTCTTTTCCTTTTGTCATGATTTTATAATAATCAAATTACCTGACAGACTACTGTGCAAAAGAAAATATAAATTGGTCCTTTGCTGGAGTTAGGGTAGCATTTAATATCCTGTCTGGAAATTACATAGAAAAACACTGGTTTAAAATAAATAAGAAATTTTCTAACATTTAGAGGTACCTGACAATGGAACTAGCAGTCCAGGGAAACAGTAAGTGCTCTTTCATTACAACTTGTCAAAGAAAAGACAGATACACACTCTTGAACTACATGATATTAAAAAAAGAAAAAAATAAACTATATGATAAAGTACAATTTCTCCCAAAGTGGTATTGCCAATACATATTCCCAGACAGTCCTGTATAAAAGTTATCTGACTCACATTCTCTTTGACAGTTGGTTACATCAGAAATCTTAAATGTTGCCATTCTATTAGATGTAAAATTATATCAACCATTTTTAATTCCTATTTATTTGAATATTAATAAGGTTGAGCACTTTATGTTCATTGGCCACTTGTGTTTCCTCTTCTGCTTGTGTCCCGACCATTTTAGTAATATGTCTTGTTATTTTCCATTTGTATAAGTTCTTCATATTTTCTAGAATCGATTGCTTTGTCTATAACATGGTATAAATATCTTCTCCCAGTGTATGACTTATCTTTTTATTTTCTTTTTACCGTCTTTGATAAACATAAGTTCTCATTTTCTGTTATATTTAGCATTTTTTTGTGCTTTAAGAAATCTTTCCCTACCTTAAGGTCCTAGAGATATTTTCCTACATTTTCTTCTGAAAGGTTTTTATGTATGATAGGATAGAAATCTAATTCCTTTTTTAATATGGATACTTATTATTCTAACACCATTTATAAGTGGTCACTTTTCACTAGCGATCTTCAACGTCATTGTTAAAAGTTGGGTTTCCCAGGAAATAAACTCTGAGATTTCATGCCAGAAGTGTCAGGGAGTGCTCTCAGGAACAACTTCTATGTAGGAAACAGGAATGGGCAGATATTTCAGTTGAGCCGTGACGCAGTTGCAATCAAGGGCTTAGTCCCAAGTATAAGAAGCTCTGGAGAAAAGATGGCCCTTCAGAGTCCTGTCTCAAGATAAGGAAGCCAGATATTTTATAGATGCCCCCTTCAAGCAAGATGTTAGACTCAAACCTAACCATACTAATAATCAAACTAAATGTAAATGATCTTGGCATCATAATTAAAAGGCAGTGATTTTAAGATTGTATAAAAAGGCAAGACCCAATTATATGCTACCTACAAAAAAATTGAAGTATAAAGAGATAAAAAGGTAAAAAGAAAAAGCATAAAAAATGATAAACCAGGCTAACACCAGTTAAAAGTAAGCTGGAGTGGCTATACTAATATCATACTAAGTAGATTTCAGAGTAAAAAAAAAAAAATCACAAGTTATAAATAGGGTCATTTCATCGTGATAAAGGAGTTAATTGATCAATAGGACATAATAATGCTAAACATATGTATGTACCTAATAAGAAAGCATCAAGATACACAAAGCAAAACTGATAGAATTACAAGGAAAAGTAGACAAATCTACAATTATGGTTGGAGACTTTAATACCTCTTTCTCAATAATTGAAAGAAGTAGGAAGAAAATCAGCAAAGAGAAGTAATCTTGAACAATATTATCAGCCAATTTAACCTGAATGACATTTATAGAATATTCTAACTAAGAAAAGCATAATACATATTTTTCTCAAGTGTACAGGAAATATTTACCAATATAGACCACATACTGGGCTTTATAACAAATCTTAATAAATTCAAAGAGTTCGGTTTATAAAAAGTGTTTTCTGTAATTATGGTGGGATTGAATTAGAAATTGGTAACAGAAAAGCCTCTGGAAAATGCCCAAATATCTGGAAACTAAATAACATGCTTCTAAATAACCCATCCATCAAAGAAGAAATCAAGGGAGAAAATTGGTCATTTGAACAGAATGAAAATGAAAATGTAACATATCAGAACTTTGGGGATGCTGCTAAAGCAGTACTTAGGAAAAAATTATAGCACAAATAACTACATTAGAAAAGAAAACAGTCATAAATCAATGACCTCTGCTTTCATTCTAAAAAATTAGGAAAACAAGAGCAAATTAAAACCAAAGTAAAGAAAAAATAAGGATCAAAGTGGAAATCGATGGTAAGGAAAACAAACAAACAAAATAGTGAAAACCAATTAAGTCAAAAGCCATTTCTTGGAGTTCAACAAAATTGATAAACGTAAGTCAGACTAATCAGGAAAAGAGAGAAGACACAAATTACTAATATTAGGAATCACAGGGCAATGTCATGGCTTATGCCTATAACCCCAGCACTTTGGGAGGCCAGGGCAGGAGGATCACTTGAGCCTAGGAGTTTGACACCAGCTTGGGCACCAGAGCAAGATTACACCCTACAAAAATAAAAATAAAAATAAATTAGGCCAGGTGCAGTGGCTCACGCCTGTAATCCCAGCATTTTGGGAGGCCAAGGCAGGAGGTCAGGAGTTCAAGACCAGCCTGGCCACTGTGGTGAAACTCCATCCCTACTAAAAAAAAATACAAAAAATTAGCTGGGCATGGTGGCACACACCTGTAATCCCAACTACTCAGGAGACTGAGGTGGGAGAATCGCTTGAACCCAGGAGGTGGAGGTTGCAGTGAGCCAAGATCACTCCACTGCACTCCAACCCGGACTACAGAGTGAGACCATGTCTCAAAAAAATTAAATTAAATTAAATTAAATTAAATAATAAATTAGCCAGGCATGGTGGTGTGTGGCTGTAATCCTAGCTGTTTAGGAGGCTGATGTGGGAGGATAGCTTGAGCCCAGGAGTTTAAAGTTACAGTGAGTTATAATCATACCACTGCACTCCAGCCTAGATGACAGAGTGAGACTCTGTCTCAAAAAAAAAAAAAAAATTAGAGGTGAGATTACTATATATTCCACAATTATTAAAGGATGCTAAGGGGATATTTTGTCAATAAATTCCACAACTTTGATAAAATAGACAAATTCCTTAAAAGACACAAATTACCAAAGCTCACTCAAGAAGCAATAGATAACCATAATAACCCTATGTATATTAAAATTTGAATTTGTAGTTAAAAATTAAAAATCTCCCTACAAAGAAAACTCCAGGCCCAGATGGTTAATTCTATTAAGTATATAATGAAGAACTCATACCAATTTTATGAAAATTATTTCTAAAAGGAATTCTGTGCAGACATGATTACCCCGATAGCAAAGTCAAAGATGTCACAAGAAAACTATAGATCAGCCTCTCTTCTAACCAAAGATTCAAAGATTCTAAACAAAATTTCACTATATCAAATTTGCTAGTATATTAAAAAGGGTAATAAACCACAATGAAATAAAGTTTATTTCAGGGATAAACATTCAAAAATTAATCAATCTAATTCACCATATTAACAACCTTGAAAAGAAAAACTATATGATCATCTTTATACATACGGAAAAGCATTTAACAAAATCCAACATCCATTCCGAATAAGAACCACCCAACAAACTAGGAATGTAATGGAACTTCCTCAATCTGATTAATTGCGTCTACAAAAAGCCTTCATCTGACACCACACCTAATAGTAAAAGACTAAATGCTTTTCCTCTAAGATCAGGAACAATACAGATATGCATGCTTTCATCATCTTTACTCATCCCTGTACTGGAGGTTGTAACCAGTACAATAATACAAGAAAGAGAAATAAAGGCAACCAGGTTAGAAAGAAAGAAGCAAAACTGTTTTTATTTACAGACCATATGATCATCTGAATTCCTTATGCCAAGGACACTTCAGGACACTAGACTAGGTTTTTCTCAACCAAGCGTTATTGATATTTTGGGCTAGATAATTCTCTGTTGGGGACTGATGTGCACTGGGAGGGTGGTGGCTGCCTGTACACTGAAGGATGTTTAGCAACATCTCTGGTCTCTTCCCAGAGATACCGGTAGCACTTTCCCACCCTTACCTCAATTCCTGACAGCTGCAACAACCACAAATATCTCCAATCATTGCCAAATGTTCCCTACTGGGAAAATTCTCCCCTCCCTGCCCACATTGAGAACTACTGTTCTATAGTCAAAGTTAAGGTGAATTACAGGAATTTGATAATGAAGGAAGTTAGAAGATGGCTGTAGTAATTAAAGTAAAAAATAAGAAAGGTCTGAACTGCATTAGCAATAGCAGGCTTGGACTTGAAGGGATGGGACAATAAAATTTAAGTATCATTTGGATGATAGGGTAGAATAGAGGAGTTCAAGTCTTGGTTTGCATAATGACGTAGATGATGGTGTCACCAAAGAGATGATCATATTACATGTAACAGAAAACATGGAATACATGTTCTGAAAAAGCCTATCACAGTGACTGAATTTTCTGATTACAAAGTATCTCTAAATTGATAGAGAGTACAAGGATGGTTACCAGAGGCTGGGAAAGGTAGTTGGGGGTAGGGGGATGGTGGGGATGGTTAATGGGTACTAAGAAATAGAATGAATGAATAAGATCTAGTATTTGATAGCACAACAGAGTGACTATAGTCAATAATAATTTAATTGTACACTTTAAAAGAACTAAAAGAGTATAATTGGATTGTTTGTAACACAAAGGATAAACGCTTGAAGGGGCGGATACCCCATAGTCTATGATGTGATTATTATTCATTGTATGCCTGTATCAAAACATCACACGTACCCCATAAATATATATACCTACTATGTACCCATATAAATTAAAAATAAAAAACAAACTATCTCCAGATAAAGAAAAAGGAGGACTTCGTTAACTGTGCTCTGATTTGATTCTCGGTAAACATGAATTTAAGTGGTCTTTCTAATCCCCAAATCCTGAGAGTCACCATGCGAATTGAAATGTAGAAGACTATATATAAGTGGATTCAGTTTCTGTAAGTATGATAGAGCAGCAGAGTGGCCAAGTGGGGCAAGGAGAGGCACTCAAGTTAAGCACAGAATTGTAAAGAGAATCTTTCCATAGTTCCTCAGAAATATATACCTCTCATCTATCTAGCTGCAAAAGCAGATAAAGATCATAGTATAGCCAACTGGAATGTACCATTCCACCTTAGGTTAGCAGCTAAATCTGTGCTTATTTCTTCACTTACAAAGCACAATTAAAATCTTTATTGGAATATAATTCACATATCATATAACTCACACATCATGTAATTCACACGTATCAAATGTATAATCCAATAGTTTCTAGTTTGTTCACAGAGTTCTGTAACCATCACCACCATCAATTTTAGAACAGTTTCATCACTCCCAAAAAAACTCTATCATCATTAGTCAGTCATTCCCTACTTTTCCCTCCCTCGTCACCTATTCTTCCACCTGCATCCCCTAGCCCAGACAATCATTTATCTACTTTCTGTCTCTAATATATTAGGCACAGTATTCATTAACAGGCTAATATTTGGTCTTGTTTTATGACTTAATACACTTCAATTTTGGAAATTGTTATATCCAGTGATAAATAAGAGTGAAATAATTTACCTTGGGATGAAAAGAAAAACACATTCCAGGAGCCTGTCGAGATATTAAAGCTTCGTCTTTCTTTTCCTTTTCCCCTCCTTTTCTGTTACTGGTAGTTGTAGTTCTCTTTAATCGCATCAAATCTGTATTTAAAGAAAAACATACATAACTTGTTATTTACCACATGAAAGAGTACCGCAAATATCATGTGTATTTCTTCTGCAAATAATATTAGTTCTGCCAAATTTGCATGTAATTAGGCTAAAATTAGCACACACTAGAACTAGCTGCTTAGAAAAACAATGACCAAGCCCAATTTTTTTCTTATTGGCCAAACCAAAATTTGTCACCTTTCACACATGGTTAACCAGAAAATTTTAATTCAGCACGTAACAAGAAAAAGATAACTTGATTTTTCTTTTACCATAACAATCTAGTCCTTTTCGTATAACCCATTTGGAGATTCTTCCATCTGCTGATATAGAAACTAGTATTTCTCTTTTATCATCTCCTGTTGTTCCTCGATCTTGTTCTATCCACTGTAGTTGCCAGACAGGTCCCAAATGTTTTTGAGGTGATTCACTAAAACAGTAAAAAAATACTAAACATATAATCATTATAATAATTTCTTAAAGGCCTTGGAGTATAAATGATAAGGTCAGCTTTCTAGAAGATCACGACCTATTTATATAATCCTTTTATTGTTCAAAAATAGACTTTTAAATATTTTAAAAAATAGAAAAGACAACCACTTTTCTACTTAACAGTCACTGTTATTTTTTCTACTTCTTACAAAAGAAAAATTGTACTGGTCTTTAACTATATTAGCTATCATAACAGCAATACAAAAGCAAAAATGTTCTTTCTTTTCAGAATCTACTTTTCTTACTCAATTCATTAATTCTTTCCTAGTTTAGTTGTGTAAATTCTGACTTTTACTTTATTTTAGACACATTGAATATAAGTATTTTCATCTTTATAATGTTTTTATGAATTAAGTTGTTAATCATTTAAATCTTATCCAGGTAAACAATTCTTCTTTCTATATTTCACTCTTCTTCCAATGTTTCAAGATTGCCCATTGGTTTAACTCTCTCTATGGATTAGAGTTAAAATTTTTCTGAAAAATTAAACACACTTCTCAGATTACTCTCTTTTCCTATCAGATTAATGTGATTTTTTTTCATGGTACTGACTACCTTGATTTTTAATACAAACCCTCCAATGCAATCAGTTCTGAACATTTTAAAAATCATACATATCTTTGATTTTTTGGTGAAAATTATGGACCCTCTTCCCAGAAACAACCACAAAGGCCCATGCTTACAAAACTGCAAATAATTTGAAGTTAAGTTCAGGAGCCTCTGCTTTAATGGTTATTTCTAGTTCTAGCTAAGTTTATTCAAACACTTTTACAAACATGCCCCATTGATATCTTGTCTATTACAAAAACCTAGTCTTTTTAATATCTTTCACCTCTAACCTTTTGGCTTTCCTCATATAACTCATTTATTCATTAATTATTCATCAAACACTTACTAGACTCCTGTTATATATCCAATTTTCAATGACATGCTGATGATAGAAAGGTATGTAAGATTCAATCCTTGCTCTCAAGGAACTTATACCCTTCTTAGTAAGATAGATAGATAGATAGATAGATAGATAGATAGATAGATAGATAGATTAGATAGATTTACATATATATACACATACATAATTTTATATATAATATGATAAGTGCTATGATAAAGGTATGTACAGGTTGCACAAAAGAAAGGAATGGGAAAATTTCCTGGAAGAAGTGAAACCAAAGCAGTAGTTTAAGAATAAGCATAAACTGTCAAGCCAGAGGAAGTTGGTTAGTGAGATGGGCAGAGAAGAAGTTGAAGGAGCTATCAGGACACACCATTCCAGCTGCAAAGACAACATGAGGGATTATTAAATGTTTCAAAAATAATGGTATCACTCTCAGTAACGACATAAATATTTACTCAAAACTAAATAACATTAGAGTAAATCCTCCTGAAAAAGCATATATTATACATTTATCTAATTCTCAGGTTCTTACCTACTATCCAGAACCGGAACATTACTGTTGCTCTGTACATTGTAAATTGCAATTGTGCCATTGTGGTAGCCAACTGCTAAAAGGTTAGGTGCTCCAATTGAAAAATCCACAGCAGTAACTCCATATGGACTCTGATAAATACGTTCTGGCCACTAAATTTTAAAAAATTACATTTTCAACTTGTTTTTATAGACTACAGTAAGACAGAATATAATGGTGGCTGAGATTTAGTTTGGTGGCAGTGGGTATGTGAGCAGAGTTAGCCCACATTCAGTTACTTCTGTCCTCCTCATTTCCAGTACAGAAAAGAATAAAACTTCACTTGGTCATTTCCTTTGATACAAGTATGAATCCTCAGCACTCAATGACTTTAAGAAATAGAGTGTTGGGCATGGGGGCTCACTCCTGGAATCCTAGCTACTAGGGAGGCTGAGGTGGGAGGATCACTTGAGACCAGCAGTTTGGGACCAGCCTGGGCACATAACAAGACCCCTATCTCGAAAGAAAGGAAGGAAGGAAGGAAGGAAGGAAGGAAGGAAGGAAGGAAGGAAGACAGGGCTAAGAAGAAGGAAGGTAAGGTGAAGGAATGTAAGAATAATGAAGAAGGAATAATAATATAAATAATGAAGAAGTAATAATAAAGTATAAGGAAGGAAGGAAGGAAGGAAGGAAGGAAGGAAGGAAGGAAGGAAGGAAGGAGAAGGAAGGAAGGAAGGAAGGAAGGGAAGTACAGCACAGCCTTCTACAATAATATTTTGGTAATCTTTCAGCAGGATTAGTATTACCATCTCATGTTACCTTCTTATGGGAACAAAAAACTAATCATCTAGCATATATTCCTGTATTCTAGTATTTGTTTCAGATGCTTGGATTATCTATAGAATGAAGAGAAAAAGTTCTAAAACTCCCCAAGTTACAAGTTACTCTGTTCTACAACCCCATGAAGAGTTTGTTTTGTTTGAATGTCTAATTTAAATCCTTTCCTGTTTTTAACCACCTACATAAAAAAGAAGACAGACTACTGATGATGAATCCAATGTCAATCCCTCCACATTTAAAATTGCTTCTTCCTTTCTTTTATGCTATATAAACCCAGATTTACATTACATATAGCTAAGTTTATTCAAACACTGTTACAGATATTACAGACTAGAGGTATTTATAAAAATTTTAGTCATTTTTATATGCTCTTCTGGCCCTTCTCTAAGTTTTCCACTTTGCATTTCAGTTGTGAATCAAAACTAAATATAAAACTTTAAAGTAACAGATTGACTAGGGCTGTTTAGCAAAATTACTTCTATGATTCTTTATATTCATTCTCTCTGAAAAATGTATGATAGTAAGAAGGTCATATAAATTTATTTTATTTCTATTGAGAATAACAGTCAGGTGATAAGGAGGTATTCATATATTAAGAAACAACCAGGTATTTAAAAAACATAATTTTCAGCTGGGTTCCGGTGGCTCACGCCTGTAATCCCAGCACTTTGGGAGGCCGAGGCAGGCGGATCACGAGGTCAAGAGATCAAGACCATCCTGGCCAACATTGTGAAATCCCGTCTCTATTAAAAATACAAAAATTAGCTGGGTGTGGTGGCACACACCTGTAGTCCCAGCTACTTGAGAGGCTGAGGCAGGTGAATCGCTTGAACCCAGGAGGTGGAGGTTGCAGTGAGTCAAGATCGCGCCACTGCACTCCAGCCTGGGTGACAATGCAAGACTCTGTCTCAAAAGAAAAACAAACAAACAAACAAACAAACAAAAAAACCCAAAATTTTCAAAGGATTTTCATTTACAGAGTCATTTTTCTTTATAATTAGCTGTGAAAATCAATAATGGTTCAACTCTGCATCATCATATATAAGCATATAGTACATGTTCAATAAATATTTACTGAATGAATTTATAAATGAATTCTCTTTACCCTATGTCAACAAGAACAAATTTTAATTGCTATGAGTTAAACCAAAGAAAATAGTCGTAATTGATAAAATTTTCTAGAGTTTATTTATTACATGTAATTATATACTTTATGAGAATTTTGTCAACAGCCAGATAAAAATGCTTCTTATTCTTGTTTGGGTTACCATGGGATTCTTTATTGACCAGCAGCAAGCCAATCCTCTTTTTTGCTCTTTAAATCCAAAGTGCCCATAGCCAACAGCCAAAAGATCCTGAAAACCAGAAAAATACATTTAAAAATAAGAGAAGGTAGCATTAAAATATTGGTAAATATATAAAGATATATATTAATGAGCTGTGTTAAAAATAGTAGTAAGACATTTCGACTGAGAGGAAAAAATGCCAGTACACCATCTGTTTTTACTCTATACCTCCATATTCCTAAGCAAAAAAATTAATCAGTGTAACGCTTCTAATTTGCAGACTGAAAGATAAGCACCTAAAAATAACCAATTGCTAACAAGTTCTTTTACATATTAAGGTAGTCTTCTGAGATTGTGTTAATAGGTTATAATATATTTTGAGTTTTTGAGGACTACCTAATTATTTCAAATGTAAAATAAAGGACACAAGTTGAAGGTAGGTGCCATAGACTGAACTGTGTCCCCTTAAAATTCATATGTTGAAGGCCTAACCTCCAATATGATTGTATGTGGAGATAGGGGTTTTAGGAGGAATCTAAGGCTAAATGAGATTATAAAGGATGGGGTCCTAATGAGACAGGACTGGTGACTTTATAAAAAGAGAAAAATACACCATAGATCTCTCTCTGCCATGTGAGGACACAGTGAAAAGGCAGCCACTGCAAGCCAGGAAGAGAGCTCTCACCAGAAACTGAATCAGCAGCCCTTGGATCTTAGACTTTCCAGCCTCCAGATTTATGAGAAAATAAATTGCTGTTCTTTAAGACATCCAGTCTATAATATTTTGCTATGGCAGCATGAGCTGCCTATACAGGAGGTCATTTCTAGAAATGCATATGTAAATACAAACAGGCAAAAGCTTAATAACTGAACAAATCCAGCCTCTGCTCTGTAACCAGAATACCTTTAATTTTAGAATATTACACTTTCTTATCACCACCTTACTTTCAGGACAACATAATCTCTCCACAATTCCCTCTGTCTTAAAAACAGTCTTCACTACTATACCCTTTCACCCTGATATTGACAAATCCCTATTTATCTCTTCTAGACTCTGCAGACGCATTACTTTCTCTAAGAAACAGTCAAGAGCTTCTTGTATGTGTCCCCACAGCACTGTTTATTTCCTCATCATAGCACATTCAAAATTATTATACAGGTAGGGTCTATGTATAACTTCATTACTACTGTATCTCTAGTGCCTTAACAGTGTGCTAGGCACAAGTTAATGTTCACTAAATATTTATACAATGAATTAATAAATATTATAGATTCCATCTGTAATATGTTTGCATTTAGGCTCATTCAAAATTATTTCATTTAATCTCCATAGCAATGCATTAATTTTTAAAATGCTAGTATATTCAGTTTCTAAAAATGTTTCATATATCTTTATTACAGATTCATTAAATCCTATTTACAAGACAGGCGTGGTAGCTCACACCTGTAAAACCAGCACTTCAGGAGGCCAAGGCAGGAGGATCACTAGAAACCAGGAGTTCAAGACCAGCCTTGGCAACAAAACAAGACCCCCATCTCTCCAAAAAATTAATTAATTAAAATTAATTCCACTAATTGACAAGACAGTCCCAAATATAGTTTTATAAAGATAAATTCATAATAAAGTAGTTTACTTTGTTACAAAATAATACACATAATTAAAATAATGTGTTATTTAGATTTCAATGGAAATGATTATAGACTTTCGGTTTTTTAATAACTATGACAACTGTCATGTCTGCACAAAGCACCTGATAAGGTGTGGCAATAAAATAATAAGGCTAATTCTTAAACATACAAAGTATAATATAATTTAAATAAATTGGTTTTGACTGCTTCAACGATATAAATATGTATATCAAAGATACTGCCATTACCTGAAAAACTGTTGGAATTGTTAACTGGGAAATACCTTCAGAGCCAGTTTATAAATCCCAGAAGAAAATTAGTCTAATTACTCTGCAATTCTCTTTTTTACAACCAAACATATAATTCTCCAACTTGACAATTCATCTTATTTGCCTCAAGATGACTTTTGTCAGTGTAGTAGTTAAGAGCAAGAACTATGGAGCCAGATGTTTGCATTTGAATTTTGGCTGTTTCACCTACTAGTGGTGTGACTTTGGACAAATTACTTATGCTTTTTGTGCTTCAGTTTCCTTTCAACATAATGAGAAGAATAATAGTATCTAATTCATAGGGTTGTTGTGTTAGTACAGTTAAAACATAATGGTGCCTGCTACGTACTAAGTGCTGTTTAAGTACTTGCTAATATCAGTGGTAACAGTATTTTAAGGAATCTCAAAATTATTTTGCACACTTGTAGGGTCACTAGATTAAGTATACACTTCCAAATATGACTACTTTGAGACTAACATAAATTTGGGCACATGAGTTTTGTTATACATTAAATAAATCTACCAATCCTCTAGTTTACTTATCCATATCTAACATGAATTCAGAGAATGCCATGTCCCAAGTAGATCCCCTAAAATAAAAATGGTAATGTTTTATATATTAAATGTTTACTATATTAAAGGAGAAAAACATTATTTTGTAACTATTTGCATTTCCCCCTTTTTAAACTGGAACTTGTTTTAGGGGCATTCTAAAACTCAAAGTTATGGTCAATTTAAATTCCTTGTCCCATATCTAAGGAAAGCAATTCTTCATTATTCGAACTTGATAATTTCCCTTCAATGGTAGAAACAGAATTGTTCAAATGTTTCATAACTTACTGGATTTGTTTTATTCCAGGCAAGGCTGCTCACATTGAGGCCTTTGGTTAAGTCACAGGAAAAAGACCAAAGTCGTTCCAAGTTGGCGGGTATTGTTGATTCTTCTGCATGTATTTCTTCTTCCTCCCCCTTCTTAGATTCTTCCTCTACTTCTTCATGTTTTGCACTTTCTAACAAATCTTCAGGCTCTTCAGGTTCAGGTTCTAAAGTTTAATCAAATAAAAAGATCATTGTCCTCTACATCTAGAGGGACCTGCCAAAGGCTCCAAACAGCCTATCTACCCATGGCTGACACTTCAAGCACCATCAGATCCGCTGGATCATATGGCATAAGTGGCAGAGCACCGTGAAGGGCAGCCTGGACCTGTGGCAGAGTCTTCTGCTGTTCTGGGTTCCAACTCAAAGCCAGCAGCTTTTCTGTTTACTTAATAAATGGGCCAGTGTAGCACATCCAAACGACAAATATGTTGTCTCTAAAATGTAAAGAGACTCACTAGGCATTGTGCTTCTTTTTGGTTGTAAAAGATGCCAGGTACAACAACTTATCCTTCACCTTAGAAGATACAGCTCAACATATCCCACACCACACACACATGACACCTAGAAACTTCACTGAGGTAGAAGTCCCCCGAAATCTTGTCAGTTTTACTTCCCACCCTCTGACAGGAAAATGTCTTACTGAAGTCTACTTCCTGTTTACTAAGTTCAATCAGCATATCATCCATTTAATGTGCTAGTGTGTTATCTTGTTGAAGGGAAAGAGCCCTGCAGACTAAATTATGGTACAGGGTTGAAGAATTGATATACCCCTGAAGTAGGACAGTGAAGGTATATTGCTGGCCTGACCAGCTAAAAATAAATGACTTCTGGTTGTTTTTTACCAACAGACATTGCAGGAAAAAAAAGCATTTGCATCAGGTACAAGGGAGGTGTCTTAATTTCCTTAATGAACCTCTTATGGAACAACAGTTGCAATTGGAGTCACCACCTGGTTAAGTTTATAATACTAATCCACTGTCATTCTCCAAGATCCATCAGTTTTTAAATTTATTTATTTTCATTTTTTAGAGATGAGGGGGGTGGGGAGGTCTTACTATATGGCCTAGGCTGGTCTTGAACGCCTGGCCTCAAGCAATCCTCCTGTCTTAGCCTCCCAAAGTGCTGTGATGACAGACATGAGCCACTGCACTTGGCCAAGATCCATCTGTTTTCTACACATGCCACATATGTGAGTTGAATGAGAAATGTGGTGGGTATCAACATCCCTGCATATTTCAAGTCCTTGACAGTGGTAGTAATCTCTGAAGTCCCCTCAAGAATGTGTTACTGCTTCTGGTTTACTATCATTATCACTCAAAGCCCATAGTTTTACATTTTAAAGTTTAGGGTTCACTCATGGTACTGTATATTCTATAGGCTTTGACAAATGTATAATGACACGTATCTGCCATTGTGGTACCATATAGAGTAATTTCACTGCCCTCAAAATCTTTTGTGTTCTTCTTGTTCATCCCTCTCTGGTCCCTCATCCCTGGAAACTACTGATCATTTTACTGTCTCCATATTTTGCCTTTTCTCAAAATGTCATACAGTTGGAATCACACAGTATGTGGCCTTTCAAATTGGCTTCATTTGCAGAGTAATATGCATGCAAATTTCCTCCAGGTCTGCTTCTGACTTGATAACTTAGTGATGAATAATATTCCATTGTCTGGATGTATCATAGTTCATTTTTCCATTCACCTACTGAAGGGCATCTTGGTTGCTTCTAAGTTGGGGCAATTATGAGTAAAACTGCTATAAATACCCGCGTGCAGGTTTGGGGTGGACACAGCTTTCAGCTCATTTAGTTAATCAACAGATTACTAAATCGTATGGTAAGAGTATGCTTAGGTTTTTTGTTTGTTTGTTTGTTTTGTTTTGTTTTTGAAGACAGAGTCTCACTCTATTGTCCTGGTTGGAGTGCAGTGGCACCATCTTAACTCACTTTAACCTCTACCTCCTGGGTTCAAGCAATTCTCATGCCTCAGCCTAATGAGTAGCAGGGACTACAAGCACCTGCCACCATACCTGGCTAATTTTTTGTATTTTTTAGTAGAGCCAGGGTTTCACTATTTTGGCCAGGGTGGTCTCGAACTACTGTCCTCAAGTGGCCTGCCCACCTCAGCCTCCCAAAGTGCTGGGATTACAGGCATGAGTCACCACACCCAGACAAGAGTATGTTTAGTTTTATAAGAAACGGCCAAACAATATTCCAAAGTGGATATACCATTGTGCATTCCCATCAGCATGAATGAGACTTCTTGTTGCTCCACATCTCCACCAGCTTTGAGTGCTGTCAGTGTTTTGGACTTGCCCATTCTAATAAGTGTGCAGTGATACCTCATTGTTGTTTTAATTTGCAATTCCCTAATGAAATCTGATATTGAAAGGTCAGGTGTAGTGGCTCACACCTGTAATGCCAGCACTTTGGAAGGCCAACATGGGAGGGGAGCTTGAGTTCAGGAGTTCAAGATCAGCCTGGGCAACAAAGTGAGACCTCATCTCTACAGAAAATTTTTTAAAATTAGCTGGGTGTGGTGGTGCATGCCTGTGGTCTTAGCTAAGCCAGAAGCTGAGGCAGGAGGATCGCTTGAGCCAGAGAAGCTGAGGCTACAATGAGCCGTGACTGTGCCACTGTACTCCAGCCTGGGTGACAAAGCAAGACCCTATCTCAAAAATAGGCGGGGGGGGGGGGGGGGGTGGAGGAGGAGGAGGATGAAGAACAAGAACAAGAAGAAGAGAAAATAATATGATGTTGAGTATCTTTTTGTATGCTACTTTGACATGTGTATATTTTCTTCAGTGAGATATCTCTTCAGGTCTTTTACCCATTTTTAATCATGTTGTTTATTTTTCTTATTGTTGGTTTTAAGAGTTCTTTGTATATTTTGGATAATAGCAATTTATCAGAAATGTCTTCTAAAAATATTATCTTCAGTATGTGACTTGTCATCTTATTCTCTTTGACAGTGTCTTTTGCAGAGCAGAAGTGTTTGATTTTAATGAGGCCCAGCTTATCAATTATGTCTCTCAATGGATCATGCATTTGGTGTTGTATCTTAAAAGTCATTGTAAGACCCAAGGTCATCTAGTGTTTCTCCTACGTTATCTTCTAGGAATTTTATAGTTTTGCATTTTACGTTCAGGTCTACGATCCATTTGAGTTAATATTTGTGAAAGGTGTAAAGTCTATGTCTAGGTTCATATTTAGTACCATTTGTTGAAAGACTATCTTTTTTCTATTGTATTGCCTTTCTTCTTTTGTCAAAGATCAGCTGACTATATTTTGGCAGATCTATTACTAGGTTCTCTATTCTGTTCTATTCTATATTCTTGTTTATTCTCTTGCCAATAGCATGCTATCTTGACCACAATCGCTTTATGCTGTCTTGAAATAGTAAATATCTATATTAGACAAGAAAAAAATGTGAAATCAATGATCCAATTTTCCATTTTAAGAAACTAGAAAAGGAGTCAGGAACAGTAGCTCATGTCTATAATCCCAGAATGGGAATAACTCTTATTTAAAACGGTGCTGAAACAACTGGAGATTCAAAAAAAAAAAAAAAAATCTTTAAACCTTAACTTAGTCCATTAATAAAAAAATTAATTCAAAATAGATAACATGATAGATATGTTAATGTGCTTCACTATAATGACCTTTTTACTATATATTTATCTTGTAACATCATAAATTTGTTAAAAATAAAAATAGGCCAGACGCAGTGGCTCACACCTGTAATCTCAGCACTTTGGGAGGCCGAGGTGGATGGATCATTTGAGGTCAGGAGTTCAAGATCAGCCTGGCCAACATGGTGAAACCCCGTCTCTACTAAAAATACAAAAATTAGCCGGGCAGTAGTGGTGTGCACCTGTAATCCCAGCTACTAGGGAGGCTGAGGTGGGAGAATCCCTTGAGCCTGGGAGGAGGAAGTTGCGGTGAACTGAGACAGGGCCATTGCACTCCAGTCTGGGCCACAGAGTGAGACCCTGTCTCAAAAAATAAACAAATAAATAAACAAACAATCCAATATAGATAGTAGACCTAAACATAAAAGCTAAATCTATACAGCTTCTATAAGAAAACTGGGATGTACAAATCTGCAAACTTGCGGCAGGCAAAGATTTTTTAGAGAGCTCATGGAAAGAATTAATTACAAAAGAAAAAATTGACAGATTAGATTTCGCAAAAATAAACTTCTGTTCATCAAAAAATTTTTAAGAAAATAAATTGGCAATCCATAGACTTAAATATTTGCAAAATATGTAACTGACAAAAGGTTTGTGTCCAAAGTATATAAAAATAAGCTCTTACAACTTGAATTTTTAAAAGACAATTCAGGCTGGGCACGGTGGCTCATGCCCTGTAATCCCAGCACTTTGGGAGGCTGAAGAGGGTGGATCATCTGAGATCAGGAGTTTGAGACCAGCCTGACCAACACGGTGAAACCCAGTCTCTACTAAACTACAAAAATTAGCCGGGCATGGTGGTGGGTACCTGTAATCCCAGCTACTTGGGAGGCTGAGGCAGGAATCACTGGAACCCAGGAGGTGGAGGTTGCAGTGAGCCAAGATTGTGCCTTTACACTCCAACCTGGGTGACAGAGTGAAACTCCATCTCAAAAAAAAAAGAAGAAGAAAAATTTTTTAAAAATTTTTTTAAAAAAGGCAACTCAACTTTAAAATTGGTAAGAGACTTGACCAAACAGTAAACAGAAGATATTCAAGTGACCAAAATAAGCCACATAAACAAGAACTCAGTTTTTAGAACAACACTAAAAGGATTGCCAACATCAGGTGTTATAAAGAATGTGGAGCAACTGAGACTCTTACACATTGCTGTGCGAGTATAAGATGGTATAACCACTTTGGAAAAGTATTTTACTGTTTCTTAAAATGTTAAACATCTACCCAGTAATCCAATAATCCCATTTGTAGGTATTTTCACAGAAAAAATTAAAACATCCATTTACCAAAAGGCTCACACAAAAATGTTCATACCAGCTTTACTCTGAATATCTCCAGACTGAAAATATGCAAGTGTCCCTCAACATGTGAATGGATAAACAAATCATTATGGTATATTCATATACTACAGCATTACTTGGGGAAAAAAATGAACTACTTATACATGCATCAACCTAGGAGATCTCAAAAACATTGATATTGAATGCAAGAAGCCAGATTCAAAAGAATACTTACTTTATGAACCCACTTATATGATATGACATACCAGAATAGGGAAAGTTAATCTATATTGATGGAAATCAGAGCAACGCCTGTGTGTGTGTGTGTGTGGTGGGGGTTGGGGAGTGGGGTTAAGGTTTACTTGGAAAACTGCACAAGGTAACTCTTAGGGTTAATAGACAGGTCCTCCACCTTGATTAAGGTATTGGTAACTCCAGTTTATACATTTTCAAAATGTATTTTTATATATAATTTAAAATATATATTTCATTGTATATAAATCTTACCTCATTAAAACATTTGCTAGAGTATTTTTATTTCTTAGATGTGTTGAAAGAAGTGATGTGCCAACAGTAACATTTACATTGTTACATTTACATTTTGTTTTGTAAATGTCAATATACACAGTACTATGTGAATTACAACCTTACAACTCTTTAAATATAGGATGAAAAATACATATATATATAAGTGATTAAAATGTTTAAATATCAACCTAATGTGAGACAAGGAACACAGTTTTTCAATATTCTTCTAGATGCATGCAGGCAAAAAGATTTACAACCATTTGTCACACATACTATTCTGTAACCTTTTTCTTTTCAAATGTAACCATATAGATTAATTTTGACTTGAAGAATCAAGATAAATTTCATAAAGGAAGTTTCCTTAATCCATATTTGAAAGCTGGGAATACAATAGGCAAGCATGGGGTGGGGATAGACTGTCAAGCAAATTCCAACTAGAAGTACTAAGGCAGGAAAATGTAGGTTCTATTTGAGGACTACCAGATAAGTCTAAATATAGCTAACTTTTAGAGTCTCCAAAGCAATATGATAATACAAAGTAATCTGTGGCCATATTGCAGATATCTTTTGAATGATACACTTTGAGCTTTGTAATTTATTCTAGGCAATGGGAAAACATTGAAGGTTTTTTGAGTGGTTTAGGATACATAAGCAAAGTGCGCTGATATAGCAGAAATAGAACTTGAGGTGGTTGAATGCCTAGCTTTTCTACTTACTATTAACCTCACACAGTTTCTATAGCCTTCATTTTCTTCATTCATGTATTTTTTAATACATGACGAAAGGTTGATTAAGATAATCTCTAAAATCCTTTAAAATATTCTGTTATCATATGAGATAGGATTTGCAGCAATAAGAACAGGAAAAATGCCCCTGCAATAGATTTGGGAGTAGTAACAAAAGTAAGAACCTAGAAAGTAACAACGATAATGGAAAAGAAGAGGTTGAATATGAGAGATACTGTAAAAATGAATAAGTAATTGAATGCAGGAATAAGGGAGAACCAAGAGCTATAGATGCTTAGGAAGTTTTGAATCTGAGACAATCTGCTTCTGTGGGCATCCTAGTCTGGACTCTAGTGCTATTCATACATTTAGGGCTGAAAGCTTTAGAAACATGTCCTCTGATAATGATAACTCAACCTGGAGATTACATTTAGAAATATATACTAAAACCCTTACATTTTAAAAATTGTTTGAGTTTGTCTAAACATAATATCTTCTTTTTCTTTTTTTAAGAGACAAGGTCTTGCTCTGTCACCAAGGCGGGAGTGCAGTGGCATGATCATAGCTTCCTAAAACCTTGAACTCCTGGGCCCAAGCAATCCTCTTCCTCAGCCTCCCTAAGTACTGGGATCATAAGCATAAGCAACTGCACCCAGCCTAAACATGTTTATTTTTTTTAATACCTTTTAAAACAGGAAGCTGACGATAAGCTGCAAGTTTTGGCTGAAATATATTTTCCATTAGAACTCGTTCCATAAAAAATAAGTCCTGATGAAATTTGTCAGATTTTAATATTGCATCTGAGTGGTCTTCCTCATCTTCATGGATTTTTGCCAGAATTACGTTTTCTATGTCCATTAGAGAACTAGTTTCACTATCTACAAAATACAAACATGATACAATGATAAAATATTCAAATGGATGATTCATACATTCTAAAGATTTTTTAAATGACATTTCATCATTTGTATTTATTTTCCTCCAGTTTTCAACAACTTTAATAGGCATTTATTGAATATCTTATGTACCAAGCACATGAAAGATGCACATACCGCATTTTGGAATTCTTTTTTTTTTTTTTTGAGACAGAGTCTCGCTCTGTCGCCCAGGCTGGAGTGCAGTGGCCAGATCTCAGCTCACTGCAAGCTCCGCCTCCCGGGTTTAGGCCATTCTCCTACCTCAGCCTCCCGAGTAGCTGGGACTACAGGCGCCCGCCACCTCGCCCGGCTAGTTTTTTGTATGTTTTAGTAGAGACACGGTTTCACCGCATTAGCCAGGATGATCTCAATCTCCTGACCTCGTGATCCACCCGTCTCAGCCTCCCAAAGTGCTGGGATTACAGGCTTGAGCCACCGCGCCCAGCCTGAAATTCTTAACCCTCAAAAACTGTACTATTTTTCAGAACATAGGCAATGATAACCTCCTGAGGTAATTTTTATCTTTATTCTTTTAAAATTCAAGTTGAAATAAGATGATCAGTCTTCAGAAAAAGGTCTGATTTGATTATTGCTATATAGAAATACTATACTATTGTATTAAGTTTTCTACTGCTGCTGTAACAAATCACAGTGGCTTAAAACAATGCAAATTTATCTTATAGTTCAGTAGATTAGAGGCCTAACAGATGTCACTGAGCTAAAACCAAGAAGTTGATAGGGCTTTGTTCCTTTCTGAAGGTTCTAAAGGAGAATTTATTTCCTTGATTTTTTCAGTTTCTGGGGGACACCACAATCTTTCCTTCATCTTCAAAGACAGCAACATTGATTGCATTCCTGCTGACCTTCTTCTGTCATCACATCTCTCTCCCAGATCACAGCTGGAAAAGGTCTTTTACTTTTTAGTACCCCATGTGATTAGATTGGGCCCAATAAGATTATCCAGAATAATCTTTCCATCTGAAGATCCCCGTTGTAATCATATCCGGAAAATCTCTTTTGTCATGTTAGATAACACATTCACAGGTTCCAGGGATTGGGGTGTGCACAAATTTGCAGGACTATTGTTCTGCCTACCACACTACTTAGTAAACTCTTATTTTAAAAAAAGAATGAAGGAAACTCTTCCTTCTTTACCTTTATAGATAGAGGGAGCGTACTTCTCCTTATTCCTCCTATTAAATTCAACTAAAAACACAGGAAATTTTAGAAAACAACAAACATAAGCAGTCTTTGAAAGGTGAAGAGAAGGAATGGGTATTCTTTTTGCCTCATATATTCCAGATATGGAGCTGAAGAAGTCAGCAACCTGGGAACATTGATGGGCACAAGCAAGAAAAAGTCCCCAAAAGAAGCCTCCTCTCTTTAGCCAAAGGACCAGGAAAAGCGTAGCCTTGAAAGAAAGAAAGCTTTTAGATGGCAGTCATTCTACTCCAGCCAAGCACAGAAAAAACTGTAGCCCCACCCATGTGACAAAGGCCAAGTGGGAGCCTAGTCTTCCATCCTCACTAGGCTGTAACAAGGCATCCCAAATCCCCTGACTTTTCACTGTGTATGGTGTCAGAGAAGGCCCAGCAGGCAGGCAGGACTTTCATCCCTACCAAACATAATGATAGTGGTCCCCTTCCTACAGTGTCAGTGGAGATCAGCTGGGGAGCCTGGAATTCCAGCCTATCCAGTAGTAACGAAGTATACCTCCCTCTTCCCATTGGAGTAGTCAGAGTTGGACTGGTGAAGAGTCAAAACTTTTAACACTCCCCAGCAGCAATGAGAACAACCCCCACTGTGTAGTGTCAGTGTAGGCCACATGTATGGCACTAATGAAGCATTCCTATATCTCCTAGCCATGGTGTTGTCAATGGAAACTGGAGCTCCTATCACTTCCCCATGGTAATGAAGACACCACTTCCCCTGATGTCACTGGAGGTCAAGTGGCAAATGTAGACTTCTACCCCCACCTGGAAATAATCAGGCAGTGACTCCCACTTTCCCCGGCCAGAACAGTGTCAAACAAAGCCTGTTTAAATGGAAGTTTAGAAAAGATTCAGACTCTTACAATACCCCAAATGTCCAGGTTTCAATTGAAAGTCACTCAGCATAGCAAGAACCAAGAAAATCTTAACTTGAATGGAAAAATTCTCTATACACCAACATCAATGTTACAATTATCTGACAAAGAGTTTAAAGCAAGCATCATAAAAATCCTTCAACAAGTTATTTATGAACACACTTGAAACAAATGAAAAAATAGAAAGTATCATCAAAGGGATAGAAAGTATCAGCTAATGAATAGAAAGTCTTAGCAAATGAAAAGAAGAACCAACTGGAAATTTTAGGAGTGAAAATCATAACTAAAATTTAAAACTCAGTGGATGGGCTCTACAGCAGAATGGAAGAAAAATAAATCAGTAAACTGGAAGAGAGAACAATGGAAATAACCCAATCTTTAAAACAGATAGAAAAGTCTGAAAAAAATGAAGAGTCTCAAGAACCTCTGCAACCATAACAACATATGTACCATTCAAATCATTATCATCCAAGGATTGGAGAAATGGCGTGGGCCTGAAAAAGTACTTAAAGAAATAATAGCTGAAAACTTCCAAAATTTGGCAAAGGACAACAAATATATTCAAGAAATGAATAAATCACAATGAAGATAAAGAAATGCACACCAAGATGCACCATACTAAAATTTCTAAAAACAGATGACCAAAAAAAAAAAAAATTCTAGAAAGCAGCAAGAGAGAAATGACACCTTATTTTTAGGGGAAAATAATTTGAATAGCAGCAGATTTCTCACTGGAAACCCTGGAGGCCAGAAAAAAGTGGTACACATTCTTGGGGTTCTGAGTGGAAAGAATGGTCAATGCAGAATTCTATACCCAGCGAATTTTCCTATGGGAATAATTCTACACCCAGTGAATTATCCTATAGGAATAAAGAGGAAATTAAGATATTGTATTCTCAGATGAAGGAATACTAAGAATTTGTCTCAAATAAATAAATAAATAAACAAATAAATAAAGTCTCCCCTAAAGAATGGCTAAAAGCAATTCTCTAAACAGGAAGAAAATAAGAAAGGAAGTTTAGAACATCTGAAAGGAAAAACCAACAATGGGAAGAGAGAAAATAAGGATAAATAGAATATACTTTTCTTATTCTTTTGAGTTTTCTTAATTATGTTTGACAGTTGAAGCAAAAATTATTACATTGTCTGATATAGTTTTAAATGTCTAAATATTAAATGTTTATATATCTAAATGTCTTTCTAAATACTTAGAAGAAATATTTAAGGCAAATATAAATGGGGGTGGAATCTAAAGGGAGGTAAGTTTTCTATACTTTACTTGAACTGGTAAAATGTCAACATCTATGGACTATTGTGTATGCATAATGGAATACATAAAGTAAATAATAAAAAAGTTGCACATAAACTCAAAACACTACAGGTAAATTAAAGCAGAATTTAAAAAATTGTTTGAGAAAGCAGCAAGAAAGCAGGAAGAAGAGAGAAACATAAGATAGATAAGATAGAATAAGCAGAAAAGAACAGCAGACTTAAAGGCTAACATGCCAATAAAACATTAAATACAAATGGTCTACCTATACCAATTTAGAGATAAAGACTGGCAAAAAAAAATTGGATTAAAAACATGACTCAAACATATGATGTCTACAATAAATTTATTTCAAATATACAATATAGATAGGTTGAAAGTAAACAAATAAAAAAAGATATAGCAGGCAAACATTAACCAAAAGAAAGCAGGAGGGGCGATATCAACATCATATAAAGTTGACTTCAGAGTAAAGAAAATTACCAGGGATATATAGCAACATTATGTTATGATTGTACCGAGAAGACATAGCAATAATTAGTGTTTATGCAAAAAAAAAAACAAAAAAAAAGGCTATAAAATATGTAAAGTAAAAATTATTAGAACTGAAAAGAGAAATAATGGTCACATAAAATTTTGATGGAATAAAGAGATAGAAAATCAGCAAGGGTATATATGAACTCAACATCATCAACTAAAAAGATGTAACTAACATTTATATAATATTCCACCTAATAACAGCAGAATACACATTCTAGGTCATATAACAAACCTTGACAAATTTAAAAGAAGAGAAATCATAGTGTGTTAAAAGAAGAGAAATCATAGTGTCTTCTCCAGTCACAGTGGAATCAAGCTAGAAATCAATAATGGAAAGATAACAGGAAGCTCTCCAAACACTTAGAATCTTAAAAAAAAAAAAATGCTCTAAATAATCTGTGTCAAAGAGGAAGTCTCAAGGGAAATAAAAAATATATGTAATAATGAAAATAAAACACAACATGTCAAAATTTGTGGAATACAGATAAAGCAGCACTGATAGGAAAATTTACAGCATTAAATGTATACATTAGAAAAGAAGGAAAGTCAAGTCAATAATCTAAGTTCCCAATTCAAGAAAAAAGAAGAGAAAAAAGAGCAAAATAAACTTAAAGCAATGAGAAGAAAATAGAAGAGAAGTAAATGAAATTAGAAACAAGTCAGTGAAATAAAGAATTGGTTCCTTGACAAGATTAACAAAATTAACGATGTTCCATCAGACTGACAAAGAAAAAAAGAGAGAAGAAATAAATTACCAAAATCAGGAGTAAAATAGCAGATACTACAGATCCTACAGACATCAAAGTGATAACAACAAACAACTCTACATCAGATAAATCTCACAACTTAGATAAAATAAACCAATTATTTAAAAAAACTATTACAAATTATATTATAATATTAATAATATAATTTGAATATTAAGAAAATTAAATTTGTAGTTTAAAAAACTCACCCACAAAAAATCACCAAAGATGGATGATTTCACTAAAGAATTCGACCAGAAACTTAAAGAAGAATTATCACTAATTCTACCCAACCTCTTCCAAAAATAGAAAAGGAAAG